AGAATTCCTGGAAGCTTGGTATTCAGACAAGGCAGCCATCAACAGGCACCTAGAGATAAACAATATCTACATACAAAGAGGCAATAAAAAGGAAATAAAAGATCAGAATACCTCCTCACAAGCAATCATCACCCAGATAAGCAGAGATTAACACCAAGATTATCACCAGGAAGAACCCCCCCCCAACACTGGGAGTGCAAACCACTGTATAAACAGAGAGCAAACCCCACTCATTTCTATCACTGAAGATGTTACCTAGCCAGGTAATGAAACATTTGCAAGAAAACAACCAAGCTCAGAGAACCCCAAGGACTCCACATATTCATAATGACATACTGCCTCATCTGAAAGATCCTTCCAGATATTATGGCCATTAATAGAACAAACCTTTGTATTATGTAAAACTCCCTTTAAAAGTTACTTTAGCCCATGAAAATAATGAGATTATTGAGACAGTGAAATTCATTATTTTTTCTGTTCTCAATCTTTTGCAAATCTGTTTTATTGCATGATATGACTCCAAGTTACTAGTATTGTGAGACTGGGGAAAAAACTCACTACTTATTTATAAGACAATTGTTTTGTAAACCTCATACTTCCCCTTTTTTCAATTATAAAATACCAGAAGTTTTAGCTTTCCTATGCAGAAATATGTGTCAACTCTCTAATCATTTTTGTTGTGACTTCCTGTAGCTTTTCAATTTCCTGCAGTCTATTTGCTAGTTTGAATGTTACCTTTTTAGCATTACATCACAGGTGGTTATAGCATCAATGAGACATTTGTGATCTCAAGATTTCCTCTTATTTAAAATACCGAACCAGTTTATACCAGAAATAAGGCCTCTTAAACTAGTTTATATATAGGAAAGCAATTTTTTTAAAACTCCAGAATGTCTTCAATCAGCAAGACTAGCCTTAATAGCACACTTGATAGACCACTTGTTTTACTGGTGGTTTCCAGATCTTCTAACCTTGTCTTATGATTGAACAAGTATGCCAGAGATAAGTAAAACGGATATGGCTTTTAGCTAACTTTTTCTAGTCTCATCTTCTAGTAGGAGAGTTTTCTTCTCTTCTAGATCTAAAATGTAACAAAAGATCTTCTTGCTGATGAAATTATGTTAGGTGAACATAATATAACAGAATATAATGTCCCTTCAGCCCTTACTAAACATATAAACATGAAACATGTTTCTTATTCTTTTATTGTCATTTTAATCAAAAGACTCTAGGTAGCTTACACAAATAAAATCCAAACCAGAGTAATACAAATGATAGACAATAAAAGACTACAAAAAACAGAGAGAGGACCAGTAGTCCAGTATCAGCCACTGTTCCCTGAAAACTTGGTGGGAGAGCAAGGACTTAAAACAGTTTCAAAAAATTAAAAGAGGATGTCACCTTGTCATCTCTTCTGACCATCTAAAAATGCTTTTCTAAAACTCTCCAAGTGTATTGTGAGCATTTTGTTTCCAACATATTAGCAAAATGTTGAAAGCTATTTAACATTCATTTTGGTGTTCCCATTCTATTTTCCCTGTTGAGTGGTTTTGTAACAATATATGGTTTATTTGATTTTGGCTTAGCATGTTGTGCAGTGCACCCTGTTGTGGTTTATTTAGTAAACCATGATTAAACAAAGTATGACTGGGTTCCCATGTGTAAACTATAATGTGTTTTGAGCTATTGTTCCTTTTTTGTGTGCCAAAAAAGTTTCTCTCTGCCAGTGAGTTTCACATGCCAACTGAATTACGTACACTTACATCGGCTGTCTCATGTGTTTTTTCTTGCCAAGTAGGTTAGAGTTATTGATTGATGGTTGATAGTTACCCCTGCAAATTTCTGTACCCTTATAAATATAACAAGGTTATTGCACCAATCTATTATCTTCTCAGTGACCATGAGTTTTTAATACTAGTAGGCAAAAAAGGAACTAGAACTGTGCTTTAATTGGAATGTTGCTTATTTCATTGTGTGAACCCAGTGGTATGTGATTTATTAGCATGCTTTTATGGGCTAGCATAACATGCGCTTATATTCCCAACTAAATATTTTCTTTCAGTTGGATTTAGGCTTGTTCATTAATTCCCGACAATCTA